GAGTGCCTGGGGAACGTGGTGAGCGACGGGCGGCTGGTGAACGACGCCGGGGGGCTGCAGAACGCGCAGTTCGGGATCCGCCGCGACGGGACCCTGGTCACCGGGTGAGGAGGCAGGGAGCCCCGGGACTGTCGTCGGGAGAGGACCTGAAATGTGTGTTGAGCTGCCATGTTCAACTCGCCTACCCGGCTGCGCCGCCTCACCTGCGGACGGGATGAGTAACACCCTCCCTGCAGGGGGCAGGCGTCCTCCGCTCTCGCCGAGCCCCTGCTGTGTGCCAGGCAGCGTGCCAGGCAGCGCGCTGTGCGCTGCGAGTGTGCGTAGCAGTGAACGAGACACACAGCCTTCGCCTCCACGGACCTCTCCCGATACGAGGGTCGATAAAAGCCAGGCAGATCATTAAGATGAATTCAGATTGTGTATGTGAAGTGAAGCAATGAACACGGTCAACCGGTTGTCCAGAGTGTTGGTTTTAGGGAGGGTGATCCGGAAAGGCTTGTTTGAGAAGGTGACGCCTTTTGAGTTGAGGCCTAAAGGTTATTCACAAATCAGCCAGGGTCAGAACTGGAGGAAGAGCATTGAAGTCAGAAGGAGCAGCAAGCGCTAAGGCTCAGAGGTGCATAGCAGCTTGGTGCTGTGAGGGATGAAGGAAGGAGCAGAGTATAAGAGGATGACAGAACTGAGTGTGATGATTATTTAAAAGCTTGCCTCTAACCCTGGCTGGAGACTAGTCTGGAGGGCTATTGTAGAAGCAAGGAGGCCAGTTAAGAGCTGTACAGACATCAGGTGGTAGTTTGGCCAGGATGACAGCCTGGGAAATTGAAGTATGTTTCTATTCAGTGACATAGCTTGGACTTACAGACTGTTTATAAGGCTGCTTTTGGGATTAGGACCAGGCAGGTTCCTGAGGCAGGAGGAGAAATCAAGTATCTAGGCCACTGGGGGCAGGGTGGGGAAGGGAAGGAGCCCCACTACCCACAGCTGCCCCTGCTGGTAAGTGAACTTCACACCTTCCCTGTGTCCAGGTACCTGTCTGAAGAGGAGGTGCTGGACACTGAGAACCCATTTGTGCAGCTGCTGAGTGGGGTCGTGTGGCTGATTCGAAATGGAAGCATCTACATCAATGAGAGCCAGGCGGCTGAGTGCGATGAGACACAGGAGACAGGTGGGGTGGGGGTGGCAACAGTGCTCCTGAGAACCAGGACCAGAGGGGCTGTAGGGGAAGTATTTCAATAAGTACTATTGTAGGTACTGGGGATCAGGGATTAAGGCAGATAAGATGCCTGCCTGCTCAGTATATAAGAGAGAAAATAGATACATAATTTGCTAAAAAGAAGTGGTAAGGGCTAAGAGAAAAATAAAGTTGGGAGAACAGGGGTAGGTGGAAGGAAATGGAAATGGGGCTAGGGTCAAGGAAATGGAAGAGTGCTGCTAAAATGTTTGTGGAACAGCAGCGTCAGTGTCACCCAGGAGCTTGTTATAGATGCAGAACTTCAGGCCTCCCTCAAAGCTACAGATCAGAATCCCTGGGAGTGAGTCCCAAGCTCATGTTTTAACAAGCCTCATTGGGTGATTTTGATGGACGCTCAAGTTTGAAAACCACTGGGATGTGGAATGCTGGGGCAGGGAAGGGACACCCTGGCCATAATGTGAAAATGGGCAGTTTTAGACTGAGCAGTCAGGGATGGCCTCATGGAGGAGGCTTAGATCAGAAGGAACAAACCAGAGAAGAACTGAGGAGAAGCACAGTCCAGCCAGAGGGAACAGAAAGTGGCTGCCAGGTGATGAGAGGGAAGCCCTGGGAGATATGGTAGGAGAACAGGCCAGGATGGTCATGCTGGGCCTTGGTAAAGTGTTTGGATATTGCTGTAAGCACAATGGAAGCCATAAGAGGCTTTTCACCTGGAGGCCGATATTACTTGATTTACACTTAAGAAGAGCCCTTTGGCTCCTGTGTGAGGCTGGCTGTAATGGCGCAGTGGTGAGGCAGGGAAACACTGGATAGCATGTATTGGCAGGAAGTGGCAGACTGAGTCTAGAAGGCCTCCCAAAGGGCCAGTGCTTCTCTTTCAGGTCCCTTCAGCAAATTTGTGAATGTGATATCGGCGAGGACGGCTGTGGGCCATGACCGGAAGGGGCAGCTGGTGCTCTTCCATGCAGATGGGCAGACGGAGCAGCGGGGGTGAGTGCCAGGAACCAGAGCCTCTGGGCCTGGGCTGAGTCCTTTGAGGAACTTACACCCACCAATGGCTGCCCTCTGACTGCCAACTGTTTCCTGGGGATGTTCACACCCATCTGTTGCCTGCCTTCCCACTTCTAAGAACTTGTCATCTTCCACACTTTCTCTCAGTCTCCCCAGTTTAGGCTACCTCCCTCCTGAGTCTCAGTTGGGGTAAAAGGAAATTATCACAAAGTTAGCGAGGAGAAGACCTCGATTCCAGGCCCAGCTCAGCTGTCTGCTAGTTCTCTGGCCATAGACAAGTCACTCAACCCCTCTGAGCCACATGTTCATGCTCTGTGAAGAGAGTGTGTTATTGTGCTATTGCTGTGTAGCAAATGAGCATCCATTTGTTACATCATAGTTCTGTAGGTCAGGAGTTCAGAGGGCTCACTGGGCTCTGTGTTCAGGGTATCCCACAGAGTCAAGCTGTTGGCCAGGCAGAGCACTTCTGTGGAGCTTCAGGGAAAGAATCCTCTTCCCAGCTCACTTAGGTTGTTGGCAGAATGCAGTTCCTTGCAGTTGTAGGACTGAGGACTTTGAGTCCTTGTTGGCTGACAGCTTGGGCCGTGGCTCCTTTGGCCACCCCTGTTCCTCCTCAGATGTGTACCCTCCCCATCTTCAAGCCAGCAGAGATGTGTCAAATCCCTCTGATCCCCTCAGATTTCCAATCTCTCTCACTTCCTTTTCCACCACTAGCCAGAGAAAGTTCTCTGCTTTTATTTATATTTTATTTACTAAACATTTTTATTGGTTTTTTAGAGAGAGAGGAAGGGAGAGGGAGAGAAAGAGAAACAGCAGTGTGAGAGTGGAACACCAATAGGCTGCCTCTGGCACGTGCCCCGACCTGGGATTGAACCTGCAACCTAGGCATGTGCCCTGACCGGAACTCTCCTGTTGTTGTACAGGATGATGCTCTAACCAACTGAGCCACCCGGCCAGGGCAAGTTTTCTGCTTTTAAGGGCTCTCGTGATTCCATGGGGCCCACCCAGATAATCCAGGACAGGGTCCCCATTTGTGGGCAGCTGTGCCATGTAGCGTAACATAATCATGGGAGTGATCTCTATATCCGCAGCTTCTGGGATTAGGATGGGACATTTTTGGGGGGCCATTTAGAAATTTGACTGCCACCATGGACATGATACCATCCACTATGGAAAGTACAAAGAATTAAACAGGAAATGGTGGTAGGCACTGTCACTAGTGCTGCTCTTGTGCTACAGCATCAACCTGTGGGAGATGGCGGAGTTCCTGCTGAAACAGGATGTGGTCAATGCCATCAACCTGGATGGAGGGGGCTCTGCAACCTTCGTGCTCAATGGGACCTTGGCCAGTTACCCGTCAGATCACTGGTAAACACACTAGAGACCCCTTCTTGAGGTCTAAGTCTAGGCCTGTCTCTGTGTCATTCAACAAATACAGAGTACCTGCTATGTGTCAGGTCCTGAGGATTCAGCAATGAGCAGGAAGAGCCGAGATCCCTGCCTCTCACTGCTTACAGGAAGCATATATAGTGTACCAGTACTACCTAAGCTGGTGAAGGAGGGTTGATTGGTCAGGAAAAATCTCTCTGAGGATAGTGAAGCATGAATGACATCTAAAGGAGGAGGAGATGGGTAGGCAGCAGGGGTGGAAGAGCCTTCTGGGCAGAGAGAATAGCATGTGCAAAGGCCCTGGGGTGAAAGGGACTGTGGGGGTTGAGAAGAACCTATGAAAGTCTGGAGATAGGACAGTGGTGAAAGGCAGCACTTCTAGGCTGCAGTTGAGGTTTGGGGGGACTGGCTGGTGATGGTCAACACCACAGCCTTTCTTCAAACTGTGTCCCCTTGCAGCCAGGACAACATGTGGCGCTGTCCCCGAAGTGTGTCCACTGTGGTGTGCGTGCACAAGCCCCACTGCCAGCCACCTGATTGCAACGGCCATGGGACCTGTGTGGAGGGGCACTGCCAGTGCACAGGGTACTTCTGGCGGGGTGCGGCCTGCGACGAGCTGGACTGTGGCCCCTCCAACTGCAGCCAGCATGGCCTCTGCACAGAGAGTGAGTGGAGGCTGTGGAGAGGCAGCTCTAACCCGGGCTCCCAGCACTCCCTGCCCAGCTCTGCCTGCACCCTCACCTGACCTTCTTGGTCTTGTCTTGGCAGCTGGCTGCCGCTGCGAAGCTGGATGGACAGGGTCCAACTGCAGTGAAGGTAAAAGCCACTAGGCCAGCCCCTCCCCCACCCCGGGGCACGTGGGGAGAGGGTGAGTGTGGCAGCTGCCTTCATCCTCGCCTTTTGGTCTGCACATCGCTTGCCTTTTGTCTCTGTCGCTCTGTCCTCACATGTAAATCACTGCATTGGTGTCCTGGGACTGCTGCAACAAATTCTATAAACTGGGCAGCTTAAAACAACAGAAATGTATTCTCACACTTCTGGAGGCCAGAACTGCAAAATCCAGGTGTTGTCAGAGGCATGCTCCCTCTGGAAGGTCTAGGGGAGGATCCTTCCTACCTCTTTCAGCTCCTAGTGGCTTCCAGCGTTCCTTGGCTTATGGCCACATCATTCCAGTCTCTGCCCTCGTCTTCACATGGCCTCCCTGTGTGTTCACTCTCCCTCTCTGTTATCTTACCAAGGTCACTGAATTTAGGGCTCACCCTAAATCTAAAATGATCTCATCTCAAGATCCTTAAACTTAAGTGTATCTATAAAGACCCTATTTCCAAATAAGTTCCTGTTTACAGATTCTAGGAGTTAAGGACATGTCTTTTGGGGAGACTCAGTTCAACCCACTACAAACATCCACAGCTTAAACCCTTCAGTGGTTTTCTTTCACACTTAGTGAAAACCCAAACTACTCAGTGTGACCTGCCAGGCCCTGGGTGCTCCAGTCCCTCCCTGCTCGCTCTGCCCTCTGCTTCTCCTCTCTAAGTCTCAGCCTAACGTCATGTCCTCAGAGGCCTCGCCACCACCCACCCCCTCAGTGGTTTGCTGCTGCTAAGAGGTCACATCCCTGCTTTGCTTGTCCTCCCCATACTTGGACATTTGCTTTCTAGCTTGCTGGCCACCTGCCCTCTTAGACTTGAAGCTCCATGAGGGCACAGTTTCAGGGAGAATATGTGAGCCCCAAGGCCACTCGGGGTGACTGTGGTCCATTTGCAACCCTGTTGGCTCCAGCCTGGGAGGGACAGGGCCAGATTTTGCAAAGACCTCCCTTCCCCCATCCCAGCTTGCAGCAGTGGCTCCTTTGGGGAGGACTGTGCCAAAACATGCCAATGCCAGAATGGAGCTACCTGTGACCCAGTTCAGGGGACCTGCACCTGTCCCCCTGGCTTCACTGGAGACAGCTGTGTTCAGGGTAAGCTGGATGGGCCCCTGAGTCAGCCAAGAGGGAACACCACCCAGGGCACCTCAGGTCTGGCTGGGGAGTGTATGTGTGGGGGGGAGGGGGTGCAACTCCCCTTAAGCTAGGCTCTGTGCATACCTGGGGCCTATCCTGTCAGTTCAGAGAGAGGTCCTGCCACTGGCACCTCCATTTCTATCTTCCTGCCTCTTCACTGCAGAGTGTCCCCTCGGCTGGCATGGGCCAGGCTGCCAGAAGCCTTGTGAGTGTGAGCACCAGTGTCCCTGTGACCCCCAGACTGGCAGCTGCAACCTCACCCAGGCATCCACCCTGAGCAGCATTTTCTCCCAAGGTATGCCCCCCACAAGTCCCCTGGGGGCAGGAGAGGGCAGACCCAAACCCTCCCAGACCCTCAACCTCACCTTGATTTTTTACAGTGAAGCAGTGTCTCCAGCCATCCCAGGTCATCCTGCAGACAAGAGAATTCTCCCTTCTCACTGGGTAGGTGCTTTGGTGGGACCTGGGGCAGAGGAGACCCCCTCCCTCTGCCATCGAGGGACTGGGAAGGCTAGCAGGTGGCAGCTGGGCACCCAGGTGACATTTCTCCAATGTCCCTGTGAGCACAGGGAGAGTCACAGTTGATGCTCAAAAGGACATGGTGAGAAGGACCTTGGTCACCACACAGGGGGAGTCGAGGGGGCTGGGCATGGGCTTACTGTCCTCAGGCGTGGCAACTCACAACTTGTTCTCAGCTCCAGGTCCAGAAGCCCCAAGGAACTTGCATTACTCCTCAGGCACCTGTGTGCACTCAGGCCTTGTGTTGAGGCTTTATTTTCAAGCCTAACCTCAGGGAGGAGAGTGTATCAAGAGAGTGCTGGGCTCCACCCCCGGCGTTTCTGCCGCTGGGGAGGAGCCAGTGCATCCGCATTCCCGGTGATGCCCGCACTGATGGTCCGGGGACCTGCTATGAGAACCTTGCTGCTTGTGGTTCTCACCTCCCCTGGCCCAGGCCTGGGTGCCAGGCCTGACCCCCCACACACCCCGCCCCCTCTGGAGGTGGAAACCAGGTGTGGGTATGAATGAAGAGCTCCCCAGCATTGTTCCAGAGGCAACCCCTGGGAGCTCGTCAGTAATGCAGATGCCAGGTCCCTCTTGGGGATCCTGACCCAGTGAGTCTGAGTGGGGTGAGGCCTGTAGAATACTGAAAATGGGCTTTTGAAATGCACCAGAGCAGGGACAGGAGCTCCCAGGAATCCAGCCCCTGGCCTTAAGCTCAGTCTCCTCAGGTGTGAGACTTTGAGGACCCCCCCTTCCCCACCCAGACCTGGAACCCATTGACAGCTACTTGCTGTCTGCTCTGAGGACCCTGGAGCAGAGTCCAGCCTCTGTTGTCAGCAAACATCCCGTGAAGCATTGGAAGCAGACTGATGCTGCCCGGGGCTGGGTTAGGTCATTTGAGTTGGTATTCCCAACTTAACCGTTGTAAAAGATTTATTAACAACATCTGAAAACCAGTAATATTCATGTAAAACTTTTTTTTTTATAGTTTATCTTGAAATATCAGGTGTGGCAGCACCAGGTGCATCCATGTATCAGCTGTCCCCACTGTTCCCCGAACATGTGTCTGGAGTGTGCCTGAGCCCCACAAGGCCCATTGCTCCTTGACGGTCCCTGTGTGGGCCCCAGAGGCCCCACCCTATGTCCATGTTGTGGGTGGAGGAGCGAAGTGAGAGGGAGGGACATCCCTCCAATACTCCTGAAGCCCTGAGTTTGCCCAGCAGTCCCCCTTCAGGATTTCTCTCCTGTCCGCAGGACCACCTGGCTGGCCCTCACCCTGGCCTTGGTTTTCCTTCTGTTGATCAGCATGGTGGCAAACGTGTCCTTGCTCCTCAGTTCCAGAGCCAGGTGGAGCCGGCACCTGGATGGGTCTTATGTGTACCACCCCCTGCAGGAGATGAACGGGGAGCTCTCAGTGGCCGAGAAGGAGCAGCCAGGTGATGCTGGCAGCTCCTTCAAGGACTGAAACCTCCAGCTGCCCACCGTGGCCTGTTTTGGAGACTTTATTTTGTCAGGTTCTGGCTTCTGCAGGGGAAAGTCCAAGGCCACTGACTCTGGGTGTCTCAGCCCCAGCACCAAGCCAAGCTTCCGACAGCACCTGTGCCTCAGCCCCTCACCTGGCCCTCGGCCGTCACCTGGATGTCTGCTGTGACTCAAGCAGCCTGAGCAATACAGTGTTCTCGAAGAGAGACTGCCTTCTCCCCACCTGCCTGTGTCTGCTGCCCGTGGGGCCCGTCCCCCAGGGGCCTCTGCCAAAGAGCCTCTGGCCTCCTGGGGCAGGGGCCACTAGCGAATGGAACTCACGTGACCACATCGTGACCAAGTGGCAGGGTCCAGCCAGCCCCATCGGACTGGGGCAGATTAAAGAGACAATGGCCACGTCACGGGACCCTTTTCTATAGACCTCATCACTGCATTTGCCAACTAGAATTCAATTTCCTATCAGGAAACTCCTTGGAAGGGACAGGGGATAAAATCATGTTTACAAGCTTTCTATTTTGTCTCTTGCCACCGAGAGGGTTTTTATAATACTTGAATAAATTGATATAATTAAAGGAGCCCCTAGGCAGTAGCTGAATTTTGAATCATGAACTTCAGCGCACCCTTGGGTCTTAACAGGTGGGGCTGCTTTACCCGAGTCGGGAGTCCCCATCAGGCAGTCAAAGCACCTCTGGCTCCCTCATGTATTCCTCTAATTCAGGGCTTCTCACTTTAATGTGTACATCAGTCGCCTGGAGATCTTATTAAAATGCAGATTCTGGCCTGGGGCTGAGAGTTTCTAAGTCTAATAAGCTCCCAGGTGGTGCCAAGGCTGCCCCTGACCACACTTTGAACGGAAAAGGTTCAGTGCACACTGTATTTTAATAGAATTTAAATTAGGTACCAGAGTCTAAAAGAGATTAAGAACTCCAGAGGAGAACTCGGAGGGGAGCCAAGGTGTTTCTGGTTTCTCTTTAAAAGAAAGAGGTAGCAGCCCAGCTGGTGCCCTCACAAGGCCACGGCTTGCCAGAGCTGAGAGTTTACAGCCCCAGCCTGGCCCTCTCCATTGAAGCCCAGCAGCCTGCTCCCCTCACCTGTGACCTCCCAGTTTCTGAGTACCAGTGTGTAACTTGTGGCCATGAAGCGTCTTCAGGAAGCCCCCCTGCTCCATGAATATGTATCACACAGTGTGCTTAGCAGCTATTTGGGGAGGGGAGACGGGGGAAGTGCCACAGCTTTCAGGAGTTCTTTAAACAGACCCATGCATATGATGAACTGCAAGCTTGTGTGCCCCCCAAACTCATGTTGAAGCCCTAACCTCCAATGTGTTGGTATTAGGAGGTGGGCCTTTGGTTTAAAGTTAGGTGAGGTTGTGAGGGTGGTGCCCTCCTGATGGGGTTGGCACTCATGACAAGAGGAAGAGACCAGAGAGCACCCTCCCCACATGCTCACACAGTGAGATGGCAGCGTCTAGAAGCCAGGCCCTCCCCAGGAACCCAATGCGCCAGCACCTTGACCTTGAGAAATAATGTCTGTTTATAAGCCACCCAGTCTAAGGTATTTATCAGCAGCCCAGGCAGACTAAGACATGTCATAACCATAGTAGCCCGTGCCTCCTAAGAAACCAGTCCAAAACTTGGCTTAAAACAACAACCAGTTATTGCTTATTGTGAAAAAATAACTCTCATTATTCTAGGGTCAACTGGGTGATTCTGTTGATCTGGGCTGGGGTCAGCGATTTCTTGGGCTGGGCTGGGAGAGCCACAGCTGAGGAAAGTAGTTCTGTTTCACGCCTTCCCTGTGGCCCCAAGGATTTTTTTTTCATTGTCATGGGGGTATCTACTATCTTTGCCCGACATTCAGTGCCTCTTTTAGTAACTGCCCCGTCTGAGGTTGGGTCCTCCTAGCAGCAGAACCTGAGACAAGGGTGTGAGGGCAAGTAGTATATTTGGGAGGTGCCCCAAGAATCCCTGGGTGGGAAGCAGGGAAGTGAGGCGAGAAGGGAAGGCAGCCTGTGCATGGTACATTAGGGAGCAGCTCCCCACTGCGGGCAGCCAGGCTCACCCCGCTGGGGTCCCCAGGAGAGTAGAGCACGCCGGTGCCACCCATAGGCGGGGGAGGGGTAGCCTGCATGTTTACCAGCCTGTCCTCATTTGGCATGGGCTGAGGGCTGCTCCTGGGGGCTAACTCGCACTTCCAGCCTGCTCTGCACAGGGGCCAAGTACGCTCGAGGTAGCCATTGGAGAGAAAATTGAAGTTTCATGCATCCAGATGCCCTTTGTGGTAGTGAGTGTCTAGGGAAGGTGGGCAGGGCTCAAGAGCAGAAACCACAAGCCACCTTCATATTACTTTGGAGCAGTACCTCTTCCCCATTCCCCAGCCCGTGGTTTGGCTGACACCATCCCCTCCCTGCAAGTCCAGGTGGCATCAGTGAATGGTTCAGAGACAGGTATATGTCCCATTTGGCCAGTCAAAGCTCACCCTGGAACATCGGCTGGAACAAGGGGAAAGAAACTCTCCACTGGGATTATCCAGCTTCCAGGGTGTGGCCACATGGAGGAGAGAAGTAAAACCAACACGGAGAGCTGAACCCCTCATTTGAGCCCCTAGATCCAGCTATACTCGAAGCCAGTGTCATTCTTGGAGTTCCCAATTAAGTGGACCAATAAATCCTTATTTTTGTTTGAGGCAGATTGTGTTCGATTTTGGAGTCTCTGGCAGCCCAAAGAGTCTGGCACTCATAGTGCCGTTCCAGGAGAGGCACATTTTGGACTCAGGCATTTGTAGAGCTTAGATGGGTCATGGAGCAGGAAGCAGAAAAATGCCTGAGGTTCCAATACCTGCCTTTGGTGGTATGGGGACACGTGTGATACAGACATACAAAGAGCTAGTCATGAAGCTTCCGGATTGCGGGCTGGGGATTAACATGGTCTGGTTAAGGCAGTGCAAGGATCCCCTCCCCGCCTGGTGATAGTAATGGCCTGTGGAGCGGAAGTCCAGATGCCTGATTTGGAACCCTGGGAGTTCAGTGTGCTGGACAGTTACCTGGTGACACAGAGCTCAGCTGCTGGGATTCTCTTTATAAAATGTTAGCATCGGGAAAGACTCCAGGAAAAAAGGTCCAATTCCAGAGCCAATGTGTGGGCAATGGAAGCAGAAGTCAAGCATGATGCCACAGCTTTCAACAGATTCTCAGAGAGATCTGTCTCAGAAAAACCTTGGCTCCAGAAAACTCTTAAGCCAGAGGTTTCAGATTGTGCTTTCTGGGGACCCCCATTCCTCAGAAGTACCCTGGGGGGGGGGCACAAAGGGAAGGGAGGGAAGTGGGCTGGGGAAAAGTTTGAAAGCCACAGCTACCTCTGATGTCCCTGAGGGTTACCCAGCGCCTTTCCTTCCTGCCCTTTCCAGCTCCTTTCCGGCCCTGCCCAAACCCCCACACCAGTGCCCTGAGACCCTCCACAGAGACCCCAGAGGTCTGCCTTTGATGCAAGCCCTGGCCTCGGAGGAAGAATTGGTCCCAGAGGCAGTCTCTGGACCCCAGGGAGCCCTGGCATGCTCTGTTCTGTCCAGACTCAAATCCCAGGGGCTTCTGGGGAAGTGATTCTGTGGAGACATCAGCAGTGACCCGTCACCTGCCCCAGGGAGCTCTATCTTTCTCAACACATCATATCGCTGAGTCAGTTGGCTGTTCCTTTGAGAGTCCTCATTCAGCCCAGCGAAACCCAGGGAAAGGCCACAGGGAATGAGTGAGTGCACTGTACCGAGGCAGGCAGGGCTGCTCCTCTCCCTCAATTAGATGTATTGGGCAGGGCTGGGTAACAGAAGCTGGTGTGGACAGGTGGCCCTAACACTGTCCCACTAAGGAGCCCCACCTCCTCTGCTCCCCAAGTGACGGTCCTTGGCCCCCTGCTTCAAAACAAGGGAGCCTTTTCAGGATTGCATGGTGTGGCAGCCAGCACCCCTGCTGAGCTGAGCCCAAGGGAGCTCCTGGGAAGGACAGGTGTTGCCCTGGAAAAGGCCCTCCTCCCCTTTCTGACGTCAGGACTGTGGCTGTCCTCAGATGCAATGCTGGGACTTGGGTAAAACTCCAGGGGACAGGGCAGAGTGGCCCAGGAAGATGGACATCAGGACCCTCACCTTCAGGGGTACCTGGCAAGTAGAATTCAGGAACCTACCCCCAAGATTCCAAGTGAGCAGCACTGAGTGGGCCCTAGGGATCTGCATTTAATACCCTGGATAAATGCCACATAGATGCTTATGTGCTGCACGCGTATGCAGCAAGTTGAGTATGTCCCCTCAAATTCACACCCACCCAGAGCCTCCTAATGTGGCCTTATTGGGAACCAGGGTCTTTGCAGATGTAATTAGTTAAGGATCCAGATGAGGTCACACTGGATTAGGGTAGTGTCCCAACAAGAAAGGAAACAGGGGAGAGGGCATGGGGATGGAGGCAGAGTTAGGAATGCTGTGGCCACCTGCCCAGGAACAGCAGGAGCCACTAGAAGCTGGACGAGGCAGGCAGGATCCTCCCCTAGAGCCTGTTGACAGTGATTTCAGACTCCTGGCCTCCAAAACTGGGAGAGAATCAATTTCTGTTGCTTTTATGCTGCCTAGTTTGTGGCAATTTGTTACAGCATCCCCAGGAAACTAACACATCTGTGCTTTATATATTAAAAATGTGTCCTCTCTGGCTGTTTTGACTCAGTGGTTGAAGCGTCGGCCAAAGGACCAAAGAGTCTCGGGTTTGATTCCCGGTCAAGGGCACACACCTCAGTTGCAGGTTCCCTGTCCCTGTCAGGGCGCATGCAAGAGGCAACCAATCGATGTGTCTCTCACATCGATGTTTCTCTCCCCCCCGCCCCCTCCCTTCCACTCTTCCTAGAAATCAATGGAGAAAATGTCCTCGGGTGAGGATTTTTTTTAAAAGTGCCCCCCCCCCCCC